TTTAAGGCATAAGATGGTACTGGAATTTAGTCCCCTGGTTTCCTTGTATAAAATCTCTTTTGCTAAGAATTAAAAGACACTAACCTAATGTAATAAGACTTTTCTGACAATTATTAGTATCAAAAAAGCAGTTAATAAGCAATTTCCAGAAGAGAAAGAACCCAGTGTCCTTTGAAGGTGCTGAAAATCAGTACATTTTCTGCTATCATCTATTTTATTCCTAAAATTCAGAACTTTTCCTGATGTTTTAATAATGGTTTAGACACACAGTATGAATATTCAGATGAGACTGATATGTACAATTTTATAGTCTCATGGTTCTCCATTTTTCCAGAATTAACCATGACTTAGTATTACATTGTAATAATAGTTAATATTAACAATGGTTAGTTTTGGAAATCAGCTTAAATTCTGGCTTCAACTGCTCAGTACCAATGGAACATTGTATCATTATTAATGCTGAAAATGAAGGATAATTCACGCACTGAGAAAAGAAGTGGCAGAAGTATGCAAGAATGCATAACATTCCAAATCTTAATTATTGTTAAGAGAACATGGAACATGTTGAACATGTTGCCTCTCTCAAACTATTTTTTCTGAAATCTGAGTAGTTTTGTGTGTTTTTAAGAATATTTAGCATGTTGCTATGTCTGGAACTAGATGGGGCAATGTTTCAAGGAGTTTTGGTATATCTTCCACACGTAGTCTTACTTCTTCCAAATTAATTACTTGTTTCTACTACTTCATCAACCTTCTGCATTTGATGGCTAAGAGCAAATATCTGATATTATTGTTAAAGGACAAGCTTATATGTTAACAAACCGAGTTAATGTATATTAAGAAAACAACATGATTTCTGTTCTGTGATCATTCCTTGGGCTTCTGAAGGTCAAGTTGCTCTGAGCAGAAATGAAAAATAATACACTAGGGAAAGGAAATATTGTACTGTACATGTAGCTGCATCAAATGCTTTTGCACACAGCCCTAAAACCTACTTTTGCACACAGCTCTTAACAATTCAGTCAACCAGAGAGATAGAGAGATAGATAGAGAGAGAGAGAGAGAGAGAGAGAGAGAGAGAGAGAGAGAGAGAGAGAGAGAGAGAGAAAGAAACACCATGACTGTTGCTGTGATACCATTGGAGGCAGATTATTTATTCCCAAGTGGTTTATAAATTGTATATTTCAAAGTATACTGTGTCAGTTTCAGTACCGTTTCAGAGAGGTGTAGTCTTAAATAGATTTAGCAGTTTTTAATAGAGGTAAAGCTAGATTCAGATTCATTTAAATCTGAGAAGTGGGAATAGATCTGAAATCGATATGAATCAGGTGCAAGTCTCCAGAATAAAAAAATCAATTTACCATTTGTAATAATTTTAATAATTTTTATCAATTTACCATTTTTCTGTTGCTTTGCTTAATAAAAAGAACATAAGATACAGTTTGCCTTAGTAAATGCCATTAAGGATTCCTGCTAAATGATAGTATCTGGTATCTGTTTTTACCACACATACATCCAAACCTATCAGTAAACTTGGATAAAAAGTGTTTACATAAACAAAAAACAGATGCACTTCAGAACCAATTCCAGACAGTTGAGCACATTTTGATATTGATCGCCTACTGTATTGACAGTATGTGATTAGAATCAAGCTTGGTTTATCAGAATAATATATTTGGATAATATTAATTTAAATTATATTGATTTTACATCTAATCAGATAGAAGATTTGGATAGAGTGCAGTAACAATTCTGCTTTAAGGGTGCAACCTTGATGACATAATGAAAGTTTGAAAAAAACTCAATTATTGCACTAATACAACAATATAAAAATTGGCATGCAAATAGCTTGTTTTCAGATGTTATCTTTTGCCAGTGTGCAGTTCTTAAATATAAAAATGGTCAGAAAATTTTTAAACAAGTAACCACGTATTCAATATAATCCTAATTTTTGTTGGCAATTGTTTTCATAACCAAAGAAGAACGGAATTCATTTCTTTAACACAGAACAATCTATTGAAAGACTCCAGAGCGTAACATGTCTTTCAGATAATTGATCCATCTAGCACAGCTGTCCCTAACATTTCTATGGACCAGCAGCGGCAGCATTGTGGAGGAGGGGAAAGGAGGGTTTTAGCTGTATGCCCACCACTTGCGCAAATGGTGCTTAGTGCCCTCATGCACAGCCACCGTTTACATGGCCCGGTTCCCAAGAGTCACAGGCCAGTACCAGTCCGCAAACTGGGGGTTGAAGAGCCCTGATCTAGCACAACTCTGTCCATACTTACAAGAGTCTTGCCACACAATTCCTCTATAAATATTCAAGGTGAATCTGCTCTGGGTTATGATAATGAAAATTCCATTGTCCAGCATGCAAATATATAATGGACCTATTAGAATAATATAGTACAGAGAAACCATTTTCCTGGCCCATACTAGATGCTAAATGCATCTTCAGAAAGACTATCAAAATTGAGAGATGGAATGAAGAGAGGCTTAACCTATTTCTCTCAATTTGTTTCATTAGCACTACCAAAGGCTTAAACCTCTTCATATATGCAGTGTTATCTTAACAAATCAGTTTTCACCACCATTATATTTTTAATTGACATACTTTCAAATAGTGAGTTCAGGATTATATCAAGTTAAAATATTTTCAAAATATATGTCACTATATAGTAAGGAAGGATTTCTGCTAAAACTAAGAACACTGTTGAAAGAAATAGATTGCACACATTTTGCTGATAAGATTTGATGGAGAAAATGCCACACAATATACTATGCACTATGCCTTATCCATAATACAGAAATAGATGATAGAGTAGCTCATGTCCTGTTTCTAGTCATAACTTTGATAACTTTGCAACAGAAATGTAGTTGAAGATAATAAGCAGCATTTTTTTTTAATATTTAGGTCACAAGATAGGAAAAAACCTTCAAAAATGTTTTCTGAGCTATTTATATAATCTCTCTCAGAAAAGTGAGATAGTTACTTGAAAGCTACATAGATTTAAAGTATACATACTTCCTTTTTATTTTTTAATTAAGGTAAGTTATAGAAAAAGTAGTTGAATTTTTTTTTACAAGACTTATAAGACTTAAAACCTTTCTTTTCAGAATAGTGTATGGCTTCTGCATAGTCCTTTCCCTTTTGTTATCTGTGGCAGAATAGAGTCATTAAATGAGTCATCACTTAAATATGCACTGAGGAGGAAAGGAAGCAATATAATACATGCGGAGTGTTTTCACATTTTGGAGCAACACCATTTGAATATTATTGTTTGTGTAAGGAATACTTTTATATGTAGATTAGGGTAGTTTGTTTGCATTCAGTGAAATGAGCTATTTCTCTTTCTAAATAAGTGTATTCCACTGAGCTAGGTATGATTCCTATTCTGTCTTCAAGGTATACTGTAGAAACCATAATATTTGCAAACTTAGCAAACATTTATTGCTTTTAATTCTCAGAATCGTGGTTACAAATCCATATAACTAGATTCTTTTCCCTGAATGTATCATATATAGACATATATATGTGTATCACTGCAAAAAATATATAGGGTTGTCCCTAGAAACAAAGTTTTTATTAATTGTACATAATTTTTACACTGTGCTTTGGTGAAAAATCGGAACTTCACCAAATATCCCCGCTCCCTACCTTTTTTTTTTTTTTTAACTTATTTACTCAAAGCTAGAGTATATAATTCTGGAATTAATTGCATTGTGAAAATAATAAAAACTTATCAGAATACCAAATAAGATATTTTAATCAAATACAGATGTTTAAGCCATAGTTCATTTTAATATAGGAGATCTAGCTGAATGTTCCCAAAGGACAAAACCCAAAGAGAGGAGCATTATATGAAGCCAGTCCCTCACCTTTTCCTTTGAAGAACTGCTTGTTCTCCTTCTAATTCTCCTGCTGTCAGAGAAACAGAGGCCTATAGCAGGAGGTGCAGAAGATCGATTTGCCTACTCTCTAGCACAGACATGTCAAACACAAGGCCTGGGGGCTGGATGTGGCCCGCAAAGTGGTTTCATATGGCCTGCGAAGCCATCCTGGAAACAGTGAGGGAATGGCCCCCGCTGCCTTAGCCCTGGCCCAGGCCAGCCGGGAGCCAATGTACAATTTTGTGGTGGCCATCTTGGCACTTGCCCCAGTGGACCATGCCTTGGTACTTGCCCCGATCCCACCCCCTTCTGCCAGAGACCCTCAGATCTGTCCCACTCCTGCCCAGGCCCCCCATAGGCACCCTTGATGCGAATGATGTAGAACTGGCCATGCCCACCCACTCAATAGGCCACACCCACTCCATCCACACCCACCCATTAGGCTGCACCCACTCTGGCCACACTCACCTGCCCCCCCCCAAGGCAACCACAATGCTGATGCGGCCCTCAGTGAAATTGAGTTTGACATCCCTGCTCTAGCAGCAGCTTAGTTTCTTTTCTCCTCCTCTTAGGCCTAGGCCTAGGATAACAGGAAGAAATCTAGACTTCAATGGTAAATTCTCCTGCCATGCCAGGTTTCCCCCCTCTAAAAATAGCTGTTGAAAAATGGAGTTCCGCACTAGAATAAGATATGATGGCAGTCATGTTAGGCAATGTAACATATGCTTGTGATGAATGAATGGACTTTTAATCAAAATTGCCATTTAATATATATTAGTGGTTCTTTAAAAATAATACATTTCAATTACCCAGTTAGTTCAAGAACATCTTAAAAGAAGCAGTGGCCTTGGGATTAGTTCCAATTACATTTATGTATGTATGTATGTATGTATGTATGTATGTATGTATGTATGTATGTATGTATAATATATTCAACCATCTTGTATTGTCATCCATACATTTCTCCATGCTGCTAAAATGATTATCTACCTCAAATTTTCAATGCTGCTGCACTTTGGAATTTTGCAGCCTAAGAGCTAAAGATAATGTCCATAAAGAGAACTAACTTTTAATAAATAACCATGTTCAGCTTGCCTTGTAGGTCAAAGATTCACGAGGACAAAGTTCCACAAGAATGTATTTAGCCAAGAGGGCAACTGAGCCTCTATGACTTGGAGCCTTTTTGTTCATCTTTCTTCAACCATTTTAAAACACCAAGTATCCTTCATACAACGGCTTCCCTACAGGTGTGAAAGGGAACTGATGTTTTGATAAACTGAAAATCTGTATAACTGTCTCAATCTTAATTTAATCAGTTATCTTAACTGATAACATTCAATGTGGATTTTTGAACCTTATTTTAAACTTTTATTTAGTTCAAATACCTTAAATCAGTGGTCCCCAACCTTTTCTATACCCTGCACCCCTAGAACGCTTCTGATATATTCTCGCACCCCTTACAAAAGTTTAAAATAACGGCAATGAATTATGCATATACACTATAGTTTTGAAAACCCAAGTTTTTGCACCCCCTGGAATATCATCTCGCACCCCTGGATGGGAACCCCTGTCTTAAATAATTATTCAACTCCTGGTTCAGTATTTTCCATGTGAGAAGTCAGTCCTCCAGAGAAGAAAATATTAAAAGGGCAGGAAAATATATTTCCTTAAAGGATCTTAAAGAGGCAGAAAAGCATGCCCAGTTTTTCTTAATAGCCCCAAGTCTCCCTTCCCTAAGCAGAAACCAGCTCTATAGAAATGCAGATGTAAACCATCAGGAAGATTGAAGCTAGAAGTTTAGGAAGACAAAGACACCTAAAATCTACATACCCCACCCAAACTCTAAGACAGGACATAATAGGATTAACCCACAGATGCCAAAGGGCACACCCAGACTCAGGTCAGAATACATGACACAGGAAATAGCCTCAAACAGGAACAGGAAACAAGTCCAAACAAAAGGTTCCAGAGGGTATAAAAACCGACTCCCTACATGTGCTCTCTCTCTCTCTTTTCCAGAGACATCTTCCTGTCTGACTCTCCTCCTCAATAAACTGCAACCTTCTTTCTGAAGCAGTCGCCATGTTTATTCCCAGCTTGGACTGAACCACGATGAAGACTTTTCTTTCAACACCAGGTAAGGAAAGAAGAGATCCATCTATGATTGATTAAAGTTAAGAGCTGGATTGACTACTTGATAGAATTAGAAACAGATTTGTTCAAAGTTCTATCTTTATACAATTAATTTGTTTTGCTGTATGACAGCCACTGTCAAGCATCAAAGAAACTTATTCTGCTTCAGCCATTGTTGGAGTCAAAGATAGGGGTCTGCAGCTGAGATGTGTAAAGGCCTATTAGAAACCCTTGTTGTTGCATATAATGGGAGTAAGATGGACATAAAGATTCACTATTTATTTATTTATTTATTTGCTGTCTGTCTCATAATGAAACTACTCTGGGTGGCTTACAGCATAAAATATTAAAATCATACCATATTAATATCCCTAAAGCAATAAAAAGAGAAGTCCCAATCCTGATAAAATTATAATTAAAATATGAGGGAGGGAACAGAATGTGTGTGGGGATGTGGGATTGTCTCTTAATTCATTAGCCACGTCCAGTGTGATGTTCCCCCATTTGTTAACATGTGAACATGAATGGCCAATTGAGATGCTTAATATTTCTTGCTGAACTTTTACATAATCCTAATGTGTGATATTATTTTAAAATCAGGATTTAATGCTCTTATTTTCTACTCTGAAGATAAACTAGACTAGAAAAAGAAAATTAAAAGATAATAGAACTGTCATGAGAAAGAAATCCCTGTAAATAGCATTAATAATTTCTACCTTGGTCAATAGTGTACAATAGTGACTCCTTCACAAATTAATTACCAGCTCATAATTAATTGTTTTATAACTAGTTATCATCAACTTCCCCCCCAAGGTTCGAACTACTCCCACCCTGCTGGCCTTTAAGAAAGCCATTAAAACTCTCCTGTTCCAGCAGGCCTGGGGCTGATGTCCCCGGGGGGGGGGGCGGGATATGATCGGACACACTGTATGAATGTATTTATTTTATTGTTTTATTGTCATATTATTGTTTTAATTTTGTACGCCGCCCTGAGTCCCTTGGGATTGGGCGGCATATAAATTTTAGAAATAAATAAATAAATAAATTTAAATATCGACTCTTTCTGCTCTAGAATTAGCTCTGTACCACTGTATTATCACACCACTGTCTGTGTGAGAAAACTGAGCTAATTTAGTTCCAACTCAGTTGTGATATATATAAAATTGAAATTAGCAATCATCTTTCTCTTTACAATGATAAAACTTTGCAGAGCTTGAAAAGTCTTATTTCCGACAGATGGAAGCTCTTGTTGTACTCCTCATCTCCCAGCTTTCAGCTATTTAGCATTTCATTTGCTGGTACTTAAAAAGCAAAAATGTCTTCTTGGCTTTATAGCAACCACTGAGATTTATTTATTTATTGCATATAACCAACCAGACACAGTTCTCTGGTGATTCCACTTTAAAACACACCCAGGATTAATGTGGACTGTTGTGAGTTTTTGTAAATCCTTGTAACTGTTCCTTGGGGGAAAAAATTCAAATCTTTCAAATCTCTCAGTTTCCTCCTTTTGTTCAGCTGAGTCCAGATTTCATACAATATTGCAAATGGCTTGAAGGAAATGCAAGCATACATATGAATATACATATAATAATAATAATAATAATAATAATAATAATAATAATAATAATAATAATAATAATGATACAAAGTTGGAAGGGACCTTGGAGGTCATCTAGTCCAACCCTCTGCTCAGGCAGGAAACCCTCTACCATTTCAGACAAATGGCTGTCCAGTCTCTTCTTAAAAACTTCCAGTGTTGGAGCATTCACCACTTCTGGAGGCAGGTTGTTCCACTGGTTAATTGTTCTAACTGTCAGAAGTTTCTCCTTAGTTCTAGGTTGCTTCTCTCCTTGATTAGTTTCCATCCGTTGCTTCTTGTCCTGCCTTCAGGTGCTTTGGAGAATAGCTTGACTCCCTCTTCTTTGTGGCAGCCCCTGAGATATTGGAACACTGTTATCATGTCCCCCCTCATCCTTCACTTCATTAAACTAGACATACCCAATTCCAGCAACTGTTCTTTATATGTTTTAGCCTCCAGTCCCCTGATCATCTTTGTTGCTCTTCTCTGTACTCTTTCTAGAGTCTCAACATCTTTTTTACATTGTGGTGACCAAAACTGGATGCAGTATTCCAAGTGTGGCCTTACCAAGCAAGGCATTGTGAAGTGGTATTAACACTTCACGTGATCTTGATTCTATGCCTCTGTTAATGCAGCCTAGCACTGTGTTGGCTTTTTTGGCAGCTGCAGCAACTGCTGGCTCATATTTAAATGATTGTCCACTAGGACTCCGAGGTCCCTCTCACAGTTACTACTATTGAGCAAGGTACCCCCTATACTATATCTGTGCATTTGGTTTTTCTTGCCTAAATGTAGAACCTTGCTTTTTTCACCATTGAATTTCATTTTGTTAGATAGTGTCCAGTGTTCAAATCTGTCCAGATCCTTCTGTATCTTAAGCCTGTCTTCTAGAGTGTTGGCTATTCCTGCCAGCTTGGTGTCGTCTGCAAATTTGATGAGTTCCCCATCTATCCCCTTGTCCAAATTGTTGATGAAGATGTTGAAGAGCACTGGGCCCAGAACAGAGCCCTGGGGCACCCCACTACACACTTCCCCCCATGTAGATTCCATTGAGGACCACTCGCTGAGTACGGCCGGTCAGCCAGCTATGGATCCATCTGGTAGTGATGCTGTCTAACCCACAGTTTTCTATCTTGCCAAGTAGTAGGTTGTGATCTACTTTATCAAATGCCTTACTGAAGTTCAAGTAAATTATGTCCACAGCATTCCTCTGATCCACTAATTTTGTCACTTGGTCAAAGAATGCAATAAGATTTGTCTGGCATGATCTGTTTTTGACAAACCCATGTTGGTTTTTAGTAATGACTTTGTTTGCCTCTAGGTGTTTGCTGATTCGTTGTTTGATTATCTTTTCCAGAATCTTCCCAGGTATTGAGGTCAGGCTGCTAGGTCTATAATTTCCTGGGTCCATATTTTGGGGTGATAGTGGATAATGCTTTATTAATTTTTCTCTTTTGAGATGAGTGAGAGAGTAACCTAAAGAATCCTGTTCTTGTTGTAAATACTGTATAGATCGTAAGTAATCCTCTCTTAAAGATTGTTGTTTAGCAAGTGTTCAAAGTTACAAGAGCACTGAAAAAATTATTTTCTATACTCAGAGCATTTGTGTTTAGAAAACATAGGTAATTCTCCTTCCCTCACATTTATATCCAAGAAAGTCAAGACAGGGAAATCTTGAGTTTCTTTCCCATGCTTTCTAATTTTTGCAGGCTAAGTTCATGTTTGACTAACAGTTGCCCCAAACCTTCTTTAGGGCCATTGTTATACTCTTCTACAGCTAATGCTATTCCTTCTTTTGTGTTGTTGATTGGTTCAGTAGGCCTAATTAATTAATTCTCATTTACTTCTTTAAGGTATAAGGAAGGGATAATTGTCAATGGGCTTGATATGTTTTGAAATCTACCACATCCCTAATCAGTGCTTCTGTCTACTAGAATACTTCACAAGCTTATGAGACCAGTTGGTGTAAGTTTCTGTTCCTTGGAATAGTAAATTAACAATTAGCATTAGTCTTTGCTTTGACTTGTTTCAGGGTACAACTGTCTCTCAAGGGATCCACCCTTCCTATCTCAGTCCCAAAAGATAAAATGCAATGGACACAGGCTGTATTAAAAGTACATTGTTCCTAATGTTTGGACAGTGGTGGCATTTCCCCCTTCTTTGCACTGGGGTTTTCTGACAAATGCCACCATGCTGCTGCTTTCTGCCTCTGCCCTCCTTTCCTACCAACTACTTGCTATAGAGTAAAGTAAAGCCCTACAGGATGTTGGCCTCACGTCTCCTGCCTTGTGTCTCCTCACCATCTGCTAGTGAGTTCAACTGTGCTATAGACAGAATGCGCAAGCATTCCCAATTGATTGCTACCTGTCACATTTACATTCCCTTCACCACCACCCTAGCCAGACAGCAGGGCAATCAAGGCAAGGCTGATGTTGTTCAGGGCATCTTCACCTTCATTACTGTTAGATGTGATGCCAGAGAATGTTAGGAAAGGAGAACAGAGGGTGGAACTTCGAAGTGGCAGGAATATGGATATGTTTCTGACGTGGTTCCATCAGCCACACCTGTGCTGAGCTGATATACTTTGGTCTGAACTGAGATAGCATGGTGAGGCAGAGTGCAAATCACACAAAACGACCTGGATGGCTACCTGTAGCCCATGGATTCCAAATCTGGGACCCCTGATTTAGGCTGCTTTTTCTTTCTAAGGAACTCAACATTATTTGAGTTCTAAAGACATAGAATATACGTTTCTTTATCTGGGTTGCCACTTATTCACTAGGTTTACCCCTTTGTTTCATTCTCTTCTTATGGACAATGGTTTGTCAGTGTTTATTATATTTTATATCTTCTTATTTTAGACTGTCAAGTTAGTCTAGTATTTATTATTTCTTAGAGGAAATATCTGTTAAGGACAAATCAGACTGCAGAAATTACAGAGTTATCTCACTGTTGTCTATTGCAGGCAAAATCTGTGCCTGCATTCTCTTGAACAAACTTACCATTGTCTTGGAATGCCAGAGACACAGTGTGGCTTTCAGCTAGAACAAAGTACACATAGTCCAATCAATCACTTAACAACCTTTCAGATACCACAAACTCCTCAAAAGCTACTTACAATCTGTTTTTGAAGTTATGATGGTCACATGATTGCATTTTAGGCACTTGGCAACTGGCTGACTTTTATGGTTATTTGCAGCACTCCATAATCACATGAATACAATTTGCAACATGTTTTGCCAGTTTCTGTTGCTTACTTCCGGTTCCTAGCAAAAAACATCCATTGGAGAAAATGTATTTGTTTAATACTGTAGCTGCAGTGTTCACTTAAGGATGGTAGCCATTAAGTCATAAGTCAAGGACTACCAATACAGCAGATATGTTTGTTGTGAGGCAGATCCAGGAGAAGTGAATTGAGCAGAACAAGCCTGTTTACTTTGTCTTTATTGTCCTAGTAAGGCATTTGACACTGTAAACAGGGAGGCTCTCTGGATCATTCTGAGACGTTATGTGTGTTTGAGGAAATTCATGAAAGTTGATTCAGCTAGTTCACCATGGAATGACAGGACAGCTTCTTTACAATGATGACTGTGGTCCAGATCTGATATTGTAATCATTACATAGCACTGGACTTTGTGAATAGTGCATTAAGTAGTTACAAATCTATATAACTGCAAACTGCCAAACTTGTGTCTTAACAACTCATTATGGCAATCTACAAGACAGCCTTCCTTAATAGAATGAAGATATAATATCTTTATAGCATTCCTCTAATATAAAAAGCTAAAAGTCTATTTTAAAAATTAGATAAATTTAATTTTGGATGACTTGTTATATGAACATTTGTACCATTTTTATATTTTCAAAGTTCTCTTTTTATATAGCATGTGGATGGATTATTTGAAGAACCGCCTCTTCCCAATCATATCTATCTGTCCCACCTAGCCTGGCAGGAAGGACATGTTGTGGTTCCCATCCATGAAAAAATGCATCTGACCAGATGCAGGTAAAGAACCTTTTCTGCCATGGCACCCACCTTTGGGAACATCATACCAACTGAAGTCAGATTGGCCCTGACTTGCTGACCTTCCAGAACAGTGTGAAAACATTTAGCCTGGGGATCTAGTTGTGGTGGTATGGAGTTCACAAAATGGCTGTTTTGTTGATTGTGTTCTTCCACAAATTATGTTTTTATTGTTTAATAGTTTTTAAAAATTGTTTTAATGTTTTTAAATGATTCTTGTGGTTATTTTTGATTATTTTATACTATGTTTTTAACTTTGTATGCCACTAAGAAACACATATATGAGATGGGCAATTATATAAATTTACCAAATAAATAAAATACTGACAGACTGTTTAATTATATGTTCTAGAACCTGTAAATTATGAAATTCAAGTGGATTACCTAATTTGTTAGATGCTTTCATTTTATTTCACTCCTTTAGTTTCCATTCATCATAGTTCTCTATGCCACTTTCTTCAAGGAATTCTGGATCTGTACACACTTTCCAGGGAATAGTACAAATGGAACCAAATTTCACAAGACAACTTAAAAAAAACATATACTTTCATAACATTGTAAGAAAGAAACAGTGACTTAGGAGGGGTAGCATTTATTCTCCTGAGTTTATCCTTCAAATTGACTCTGATTTTTTAAAACCTTTTTCCCTGGTAAAACAATAACATTCCACTAAACAGTAATTGGAACTTTCTCAAAGAGAATGCTAGGCAAAACAGAAGAGATCTTAGAGAAATATGAGGAGAGACGGGAGATAAAGGAGGAGGGGAGAAAAATGAATCCATCAAAGTTTATTAAAAGAAAACTAACTTGGATAGCATAGTAATAAGGTGACCAACCGTCCTCCTTTTGGGAGTACAGTCCTCCTTTTTTGAGTTCTGTCCTCCCTCAAAAAGTGTCTTCCTAAATGTCCTCCTTTTCCATATACTGTCCTCCTTTTGGGAGGACAGTCTTCCTTTTGTGAGTTCCGTCCTCCCTCGAAAATGTCCTCCTAAATGTCCTCTTTTTCTATATTTGAAGACTTATCTGCAGGGCTTTTTTTCCCTCATAGAACGCTCAGAAGGCGTTCCGGGACCTTTTTTTGATGGTTTTTTTCAACTTTTGCCTGAGCTGTGCTACTCCCCCTATTGGCTTTTGAAAGCCAATAGGAATTTATTTATTTATTTATGAGACTTATATACCGCTTTAAGTGCAAGCACTCTCTAAGCGGTGTACACCAGTAAGCAATGTATATATATTTACATTGCCCCCAACAATCTGGGTCCTCATTTTACCTACACCGGAAGGATGGAAGGCTGAGTCAACCTTGAGCCGGTGAGATTTGAACCGCTGACCTGCTGAACACAGTCAGCTAAAGTGGCCTGCAGTACTGCACTCTAACTGCTGAGCGCGCCAAAACACCCAGGTGGCAAACTTTGCACGTGCAAGTTGCAGGAACTTTGCACCCCTCACTGCTACCCAACTACACCATCTCTTACTTAGTTCCGCAGATAGCTGGAGGAGACTGGAGCGGTAAGTTTCTCTTGATCTTCCCTGTTCGGTTCTACACAGGGATGCACAGGGTAGGCGGTGGTGCTGGGGGGCGGCTGGGGGGTGGCTGCAGGGCCGGAGCCGGCACGGCTGGTGCTTTGCGAGCCACGGGGCTGGCTCTATGGGGATGCGCAGGGTGGGCAGTGGTGCTGGGGGGACGGCTGCAGGGCCGGAGCTGGCTCGGCTGGTGCTTTGTGAGCCGCGGGGCCAGCTCTCCACGGCAGGGCAGCGGTGCTGGCGGGGTGGCTGTGGGTGGGGGCACGGTGGGCAGTTGACCTTCCATGGGCCGCGCCAGCTGGTGGTCTACGCAGTGCTGACCTGCGGTCCTACAACCTCACCTACGTGGCCATCCTGGAGCACCTCGCTCACAACACCTGCTTCTGCCGCTCACCCCCGCACAGTCCAGCCATGTAGATTTTTGGACAAGTGAGAAATCGAGATTGAATGTTGATACTCTAGCTGCAGCACTTGCCATAAAATTCAATATGAAGGATATTTCTTGTTCATATATTTCCAATATATTGTTAGAAGATGATACATTGACAAAAAATATTCATTCAATGGAAAAATACTCATTTAAATAATTAATAGGCATGTAAGCATAATTACAATATAAAATGTTATTGTTACAAATGTTTTTATTATGCATTTATCATATTATAGTGTATTCTGTATTATTGTTGCAATAAATACAATGTTTCTTTTATTTACAATTTTTTTTTCAATTTATTTGTGTCCTCCTTTTTGTTGTAAAAAAGTTGGTCACCTTAATAGTAAACTATATTTCTGTAAATGAGCACAGATTATTATTGATGTTTTCTGAGCAGAGACAACTTACAATAATTTTTCATCCAATATTATTGGTAAATATTTTTTTTATTTTTTTTTATCAATTGGCTCTCTGAATAAACAAGAGAGAATACAGTAATCCACTCTCACACAAAATGCTATAGTATACTATCAGAGTAGGAGATAAGATAACATCAATGTATGAACTTGTAAAGGTTGTCATTTTCTGGTGATACCAGCAATATTTTAATTGTATTTATTTCAAAACAAACTTAAAACAAATCATTTCATTTCTGATCATATAAATCCAGTTTTGCCATTCCTCCCATCAGGGTTTCTTAGGCATAAAAACATTTCCCCCCCTTTGTGCCTAACAACACAGGAACACTTTGCATTCAAAAGGAAACAGTGCCCTGGAGCACACATGGACAAACATATACCAGCTGCAATTGTTCTTCAAGTCAAATTTGTCTTTCCCTGGGATTGTTTTGCAGTTGCAGAGTAGGAAATGATGCAACTGTTTGAAAGAGGTGATAGGTAAGTACTCTTCGACACTCCAAAAACCTCTTCCTTTGAATTCAAAACAGTAGTGCAAATTTGCCCTTGCAGGGTCCTTATTTCATCTTTTCTCTAGCCTATAAGTGAGACAGATTTACAGTAAGTTAGCTCCACTAGGATTATTTTTTTTGTTTGTGTATTTATTTATATCCCCCCTTTATTATTTCTTTACAAATAATTCAAGGCAGCGGACATTTCCACTCACTTTCCTTTTCCTATTTTCCCCACAACAACAATCCTGTAAGATTAGTTGGGTTGAGAGAGAGTGATTGGACCAAGATCACCCAGCTGGTTTCATGGCTAAGGCAGGATTAGAACTCATTGTCTCTGACTCTCAAAAAACAGATATAGTAAGTATGAGAAGGATCTAGGTGGTCTTAATGGTCCACCACTTAAGTATGAGCCAGCAATGTGCTGCAGCTGCCAAAAAAGCCAATGCAGTTCTAGATTGCATCGACAGAAGGATAGCATCAAAATCACAAGAAACTATAGTGCTGCTTTATATTATACTAGTGAGGCCACACTTGGAATACTGTGTCCAAGTCTGGTCAACACGATACAAAGATGCTAAAACCCTAAAAAGAGTGCCAAGAAAAGCAACAAGATGATAAGATGTCTGAAAGCTAAACCGATTCCTTCCTCCTGATTCATCTTATCATCAAACATGAAAAAGGAACATATGTTTATTGAATTAATATGTTCAAATCAGTATTTGAAATAGTTCTAGAATTTGTATAGTAATGCTTTATTCCCTTGTAAAGTGAATTGAATGTGGAAACTTAGTTTTTAACTAATGTTAAAGCCTAAAGGTTACACATAGAAGTCCAAACTTTGTTGACTTCAACTGGGCAAGGGGGCACAAAGTCGGAGATATTTATTTTTCTTTTTACTTTCTGGTTATTAATTTCCTTTGTAATGTGTTAGAAATAAAGACCTGATGTACATTAAACCAGTTCCCTAGACCAAGATCCAGGAAATGGATTGGGAAAACTATATACTGATTCCGCCCCCCTCCCCCCACAATTTCTTTTGTGAAGAAAAGTGCCAAGGGATCAAAAAAGTGCCACAGTGGACACTGGCAAAAGAAGTTAAATTCAATGTCAAAATTATTTCTCTGAAATTGGACCTTGTCTTCCATCTCAGAGGGGTACTTGACTTTATGCTTGATAAGTATGATGTAAACCTATCACTTGTAATTTTTGGGGGGTTTATAATTAAGTTTCTCTGAGGTCCAGTTTGCTGAAGTGAATGAGTATTTCCATTTTGGGAGGCAACTGTTAAACCCTTGTAATTATAATTAAAAATTGAGAAAGTAAAACTAAGTTTCATGATATAAATTACCTTGGCACCAAATATTATGCTATTTACTGTATTTTCAGGGAGAATTATGTGCCACTACCCATTGGCAGTAATGTGGCCCTCTATATCCAAGATTCTTTTCTTGTTTTGTAGACACATTTCTGGTGCCTACTGTAATAAAACATTTGTTTTGAACATGGACATTCTGATTTTCTGAATACTGGAAAATCTCACCTAGTTAGGATTAATCTCATTTTTAAGTTATGGGAGGAGTTGTGCAGGCAGTGTGCTGCTCACACATGTTTACAGCAGATTTCGTTTTACAACTGTGATTTTTTTTCTCCTGTTGTACGTTTTTTGATTTTCGTGTTAGCATAGTACGTTTCTATTGTGAATGCATTTGAAACAAAAGGAAGCTGTTCCCCTCCCCCCTAGCTGCCTCACACTGGTCTGCATTTCCAGAAGAGCTGGCACCCCTCCCCCACATTCTGGTTCTACAGCAGCTGCTCTCACTGAAAACCGATATTTGAGAGGCCCCTTTTCTCCCTAAACCAGTTCTAGCAGGAAAGCTGGAGAGAATAAAAACCCAGACTGGATTTCAAATTGGAGCCTCTGCAGCTTCTTTTACTGAAGGCAAGATCTCCAGTTCATGCAACAAACTAATCCACATCTTCCATTTAGCTCTGCTGCTAATGGCATTTACTCTGGCTCCAGCCCCATATTTTAACAGGGGACGTTTGGTGTTCTGTAAGTAATCCAGTCCAGAGATTCCAGTCAGCCCTGGTGCGGCAGAACCTCAGCCTAAACAACAGTTGATGTCTCATTCCAGCTCAGAAACCAGTCTCAGCCGGCTCAAACCGGCTTTGGCTGGATGGATTGGCAAACGTGTCTGAGCTCTTTTTTTCCCTTCCATGAATTTCGATTGCCCCACCCATACAGAGGCAGCACAGAGAAAAAGCTTATTTCTATTTTTATGTTGGGATTCAGTACTGGCCTTGAATTATTTCCACTACACCCTATAGCAGGCGGGGATGTCAAATCCTTCTCAGTTCAAGAAAAACAAAACCAGAGTTCCTCAACTCCAATTATATTGTTGTGGCACAGAGAAAAATTGTCTCTTTTCTTCCTCCAAAATCTATGCAAAAGGAAGGTATGGGTGTGCTTTCCTTTTCACAATGTCCAACCATTTTGGGAATATCTTCCATTGATGAGAAGAGACTGACCTGTTGGACCTTTTCTTAAATGCAGGAAATGCTGTTGTACAAGGGCCACCTTAGTTTTCTTATAAGAAGAAATGAAACTTAATATCTCATATATTATGGACACCCTCATTGTGGACAATATTGCCTTATGTTGCCATTTCTCAACTTCCACTTCACCTTGGTAATGAGAGATTTACTAAACGTTTTGGGGAAGATTTCCCTATATACTGTGATGACCATGTTGCCCAGAAAAATCAAATATTGCCTGTCCTTTCCCTGTAAACAACCCCAGTAGAAATGATACAGTGCCCTCTATTTATCTTCCTTACTGAAGAGGAAAAACTGCTGTTCTAGCAAAATACACTAATAAGGCGGACTACAGCATCTGCATTTCCCCTTGATGACAGCAAAACAAGCCTATTCAAGGACACCTCAATCCTAGTTCAGTAAGATAAGTATCTTTCTCTGTAGCTGTAAGTAAAATGAAGAATGTTAATTTCTGACCTTGAGTCAGGGTACTATAGAATTGGGTACATTAGTTACGTAATTTATTATTATTGAGATAAGAGTCATTCGGTTTCATTGAAATGTAGATTTCTTTTATAATAAAGGCGATAACTGAGGCTGAAGGAAACTAAAAATAACAGCCTTGGGAGATTTCCTCTATTTTGTGCCTATAGGAGCAGACATACTGAAATACTTATCTATCAGAGGAATAGAAAGATGTTAAGATTATTCACTCCAGTCCTAGGCTGCACAACTCTTAACACTTTGCTCCCATCTGATGGCCACCCAGAGTTTTGCAGCCTAGATCTGGTAGCTGTAAATGAAAATTGTCCTCCTTGCCACAAGCTCTTCAACAGGTTTAACAATTATTCTGAAATATTGATGATTTTTTGCCATGGAAAAATATAAATTCAAATTAGCAACTTTTGCAGAGCACATTACTCTTGTTACTACCCAAGCTACGACTGACATTTCCTCACAAGCTAAAAAGGTAGGCTAAGAAATTTATTTCTGTATAAATGTATCCCTGCTTCACCATCCTTTCAAACAATTTATGCTCACAGCACCCCTCTGAGGTAGGAATAGGATATTGCATGACAGTATTTAAGGAATACTTTATGAGCTAGTACTGAAAGAGGAATGCTACAAGATACATTATTGAGATACAGTTCACAATATAATTTGCATCATACATTAATCACATCAGGTAATTAGTTTAAACTTAAAATCATCATCATCCTAAAGAGAAAATAATGGGCAAAATATAGAACCATTTAAGAGAGAAAGTGGTCTATGATCATTCTATAATAGAGTTCAAAGTTATGGATATGCTCAAAATTATAGATACAAATATAATTTTTCCATTTGATGGTATGAAGAAACAATATTAAGAATGTAATTTACCTACATAAAATGAATATCAGAAATCCAAAAGATTAAAAAATACTATTGGATGCATTATTATCTGGAAAGAATAGAAAATTGGCATTAATTGTTAGGAAGTTAAATGGTTTGGAAAATTAATTTTTTCTAGTAGGGGTGTTTGGGAAGCCCCCCCCCGAGAACGAAATATTTTGGGGAATATTAAAAGGCAGAATATTATATTTCCCCAAAGGATCTTAAAGTCAGAAACGAACCCCCCCCCCCAAGTCTCTGCCCCAAACAGAAACCAGGTCTGCAGAAATGTAGATGTGATAATCTTGTCAGAAAGATTGGAGCCAGGAAACTGGGATTAGAAAGACAAAGATCCCTAGAATCAACAAACCCTCACACCCAAAAAATCCGGCACAGGACATAGTCATCAGCCACAGCTCCAGGGAGACAGGATATGACCTTTGGGACATAATAGGATTAATCCACCACCATCAGAATACCAGAAAGGCACACTCAGACTCAGGTCAAAGTTCATGCCACAGGAACAACTCCAAACAAAAGCTCAAGAAGGTATAAAAACCCACCACTCCCTACTACATGTGGTCAGCTTTCCCAGAGCCATCTTTCTGTCTGGCTCTGCCCTTCAATAAACTACAACCTTCTTTCTAAAGCAGTCTCCATTTTGATTATTCTCAGCTTGGACTGGACCCTGATGAAGATTTTTCATTCAGCAGGTGAGAGAAGAGAAATATAAATCTAGGAAACCCAAGCAATTGTTTATAATATATAAAATTCAAGAGTTTTTAAAAAGCCTTACTGTTTTGTTCCTAGTTTTAACTCTTATATGCCAGTGTCTAGCAAATATATATATTTTATCAGAACAAAAGTAATATTTTTGTGGTGTTTTAATTAAATTGTAGATAGTATGTGCAGATGTTGTACATTGATTATTTTTATGGCCTCAAGAAATCTTTTAAAAATACAAATACAAAGTTTACCTGACTATCACATGATACAACACTTTTAAACAAGAAAAAGTCTGGCAAATTCTTAGAAAACTAGAAGCTTAATCTAATTCCAAAACAGTGCTTGGTTTAGTGCAAAAGGATTATATCTCTTTGTAACTTGAAACTATGATGTGTGGATCCCAGATGGTTTCATTTAAAAGAATAGTTTTCTAGAATAAAATAATTTATTTTTCCTGTCTCTGATTAATGTTATTTTTTTAAAAAAATCCCTTCTTACCTTTATGGCTAAAATGTGTCTTCCTGAATCTTGGGTTCTCTACAAATGGCCTGGGAGCTTTTGAGGGTTCTGTACAGTATCTTAGCTATTCACTTACTTCAAGAGTTCCGAAGTTGTTCCTGAAATCACAAAGAAGAGGGAGTCAAGCTATTCTCCAAAGCGCCTGAAGGCAGGACAAGAAGCAACGGATGGAAACTAATCAAGGAGAGAAGCAACCTAGAACTAAGGAGAAACTTCCTGACAGTTAGAACAATTAACCAATGGAACAACATGCCTTCAGAAGTGGTGAATGCTCCAACACTGGAAGTTTTTAAGAAGAGACCGGACAGCCATTTGTCTGAAATGGTGTAGGATTTCCTGCCTGAGCAGGGGGTTGGACTAGATGACCTCCAAGGTCCCTTCCAACTTTAAAATCAAAATCATAGAGAACTCTCCCAGCTTAGGAATCATAGACTCCAGTACTCCTATCACTACTGGGACAGGATCACTACTGAGTATATATATCAACAACACACACACACACACACACACACACGACAGGAATTCTGGAATGATTTCTGGAAAAATTAATGAACTAGTTAATGGAATAACCTAACTTTACATTTCCACTCTTGGTGACCCAAGTGATGCTGTGGCCACCCTCATGAAATGTTTGGAGGCTGTGGGGGCCTGTGGGGGACAACAATCTTTGGCTGAACCCTGTCAAGACCGAATGGCTTTATGTACATGGGGCTCTGGGATCTGGGATTTTGTTATCTTTGACTCTGGATGGGGTGGCACTGCCCAGACAGTTCTGGTCTGCTACTTGGGGGTTCTCCTGGACCCACAACTCCTGCTTGAGGAGCAGGTGGCAGTCATGGCTAGGAGAGCCTTTGAACAACTTCATGTTGCACTCCAGTTGCGGCCTTTCCTGAATCAGGATTCCTTGTGATTAGTCATTCAGTCTCTAGTCATCTCACAGTTGGACTATTGTAATGGGCTTTACATGGGGCTACCCTTGAAGAACATTCAAAGTCTACAGTTGGTGCAGAGTGTGACAATGTGGGCCCCATAACACCACTTCTCCATGAGCTGCGTTGGTTGCTGGTTTGTTTCCAGGTGCAATTCAAGGTGTTGGTAATCATCTTTAAAGCTCTTCATGGCATGATCCATGTTACTTGAGGGACTGTCTCACCCCACTGGGATTGATCCATCCCACTCATGCTGGCAGAAGAAGCATGTTGTAGATCCCATCAGCCCAATTATTCTGGCTGGCAGGGTCCAGGAGGAGGGCCTTCTCTGCCGTTGCTGCTTTCCTCTGGAACATCTTGTCCTCTGATGTGAGATTGTCCCCAACCCTCCTATTCTTTCGTAAGGGCCTAAAGATCTGGCTCTGCCAGTTGACCTGGACCCCAATGGTGGAACAGCACAGTGGAAGTTGTTGATGAGTAACAAGAGATTCCATCTCCCCCCATTCTGCCCCTGCCCTACCCACGTGTCCTTAGATTTTAATCTTTGGTTTTTAATTTATTTATATTTTAATGTAGGTATATTTTTTATGACTGTAAGCCCCCCCAGAGTTACCTTTAATAAGATGGGCAGCTAATAAATTTTATAAATAAAATATATTAAGCCTTTATGCAAATAATTAGTCTTCTCATTTTTATTCTTCCTCATTTTATTTATGTATTTATTACATTTTATATGGCTTATATTTTGGGGTTTGCAATTTAATAAGTTCTATCCATGTATTATGCATCCTCCTCTCTCACAACTCCTTTACTGCAGAATAAATATATCCAATACATCTACTAGATACTAAATACATCCAATACATCTACTAGAAACTTGCTCCAAATATGTATCTTTGTTTTTGACTGATCCCCTCAGTTGGGCCCTGTGCAGGGGAGGAATACTTCTTAAACAGCAGCAATTACAATTCCTGTCTGACAACAATCACACAGCCAATTTTAATTCTCTGTGTCGGAGCCAAGCAGTTCCATTTTTTATCACCTGGTTCCAGTGCCTGAATGTCTGTGTAGGATTTATATGTATTGTTGCCAAAACTCAGTGGCAAATGCTGAAAATTTTTATTTCTGTAGTAAAAAAAGAAACAAGAAATTAAGCAATTACAGAAAGTTACCATATATGTATCATGATCAGTCCTCAAAGCAATTCACAAATAATTTCAGCAATCTTTCAATTGTTTATGGTAGATTAATAGAATTATTTCTGTACTGAAAGGGGGGAGTGATGTCTAAAGTTTGAATTTGTGCTAATTTGAACTATAGAACCAACAGCTCCTATTTAGTTATTTTGTGATGCCAGAGCCTTCTCTGTTTTCCTTTCTCTACCTCAGTATTTTACATCTCAGTTTTATATCGATTCTTTGTATCTGCAGTTTCTGCTTAACTTCTCTGAAAAATGACAATTTGCACTTATCACATCTTTTGGCAGTCAAATTGACATGTTCTTAAAATTCTTCAGGTCTTCCTTAACTGAGTTAAGCTACTATTTGTTTTTATATACATTTTTAGGGGTTTTCTGTAAGTAGCAAATGAATATTCTTGGAAGTATATTGACTTCTGCCCATTCAAACATATTTTAGTTTGCTATTTATGAATTGCATCAATGTAAAATTAGATATATAAAAATAGTTTAAAAATAGCTGCAGATATTACTTCCAGACTATTTGAATGAAAAAAAATAAATCAAAGGTAAGTCAAGATGAAACTATTAACTTTTGTGTTAATTTCAATTATGAGACGTGGGGAGGATGCTAAAAATAGTAAGATGAATAGATCTACTGCTTTTTAGAGAAAGAAAATATTTATAGATAAAACAGGTGGAAAACTGACAAGATTTGGGATCATCCAATTCAGGAAAACTCTGATTTTAGGAATAATGAATGGACATATTATTATATAATTCCCATTTACCAAACTGTTTCATTCCTGATGCAGAATAGAGGAGGGACCACTTGGTGTCCTGCTTTCCATCTCTGTTGATGTTATGTACAAAAAGGGTCAAAGATGGAATAATCAAATGTTCCAATTATGTTTGGGCTGAGCATTTTAATTGGTCACAGTATTATTTTCATTGGCTCTGGAAAGTTTTATGCTTTTTTGACTTCGATATAGATAATGTAAATTTTTGCTGAATGTTCATACCTTTCTCTTTCTTTGCTTTTGATGGCCTTTTGTCCCATTTTTGTCAGTTAATTATTTTGATGTTTGCTGATCAAGCTACATTTTTTCCTCAAAGAAAATTTGCTTATTTCTGTGGAGAAGCACAAACACAGCCATTTAAAAAAAAACATTTATCCACAAAATGTGCAAATAAACTCATGTGAATTATGGATTAATAGGTCATACTTAAATATAAATTTGTATGTAAAGCTTGTGCATACCTGAAGAAAACCCTGAAGAAAACCCTGAAGAAAAAAGGATTACATTAAATTTAAAAACCCAGTTAGGAATAATGCTAAGCCATCAGTTAAGAACAAAAGACTGCAATACAGGGTTTTGGACTTAAAAATGGAAAAAATAAATACATGCAGTGCTGCTCACTTTAATAAAAGATAATCCTAGATGAACTGCAACATTTACATACTTGTGCTAATCAGCTTTGTTTTGCCAGTTGCGCCTGGATCCATTTGGGAAGCTCACAAAAGGAAATAGCAAAGAATAATAACAGTGAATGTGACTTTGCTAGTCACCTATTATAAAGAGCTGGAGGATGAATTGTTAAAATGAGTGAAAAATAATAACAAATGAAATTACAGAGGCAATACCACAAACATGGGAAGAAGCATATATTACTTTGATTCATAAAGAAGGGAATGATGTGCTGATGCTTGGAAGATGTGAGGGTCTGGATGGGGGTGAACAGGCTTAGACTCAACCCTGACAAGACCGAGTGGCTCTGGGTCTTGCCCCCCAAGGGTCATCCTGAGGGTCCATCATTAGTCCTGGGGGGGGGGTAAATTTACCTCCCTCAGTGCAGGCACACAACTTGGGTGTCCTCCTGGACTCACAGCTAAATTTGGAACAACATCTATCGGCTGTGGCCAGGGGGACCTTTGCCCAGGTTCGCCTGGTGCACCAGTTGCGGCCTTATTTGGACCGGGAGGCTCTACTCACGGTCACTCATGCCCTTGTCACCTCAAGACTGGATTACTGTAATGCGCTCTACATGGGGCTACCCTTGAAGAGCGTTTGGAGGCTGCAGTTGGTTCAGAATGCAGCTGCGAGAGCGATTGTGGGTGCACCAAGGTATACCCACGTGTCACCTATCCTCCGCGAGCTGCACTGGCTTCCTGTGGGTCTCCGGATGCAATTCAAGGTGTTGGTTATCACCTTTAAAGCCCTTCATGGCTTAGGACCAGGTTACTTACAGGACTGCATACTGCCGCATAGTTCCCAGAGACCGGTAAGGTCCCATAGACTGGGCCTCCTTCAGGTCCCGTCAGCCAGACAATGTCGGCTGGCGGGCCCTCGGGGAAGGGCCTTTTCTGTGGTGGCTCCGACCTGGTGGAATCAACTTCCCCCCGAAATTCGAACTATTCCCACCTTGCCGGCCTTTAAGAAAGCCATTAAAACTCTCCTGTTCCGGCAGGCCTGGGGTTGATGTCCCCGGGGGTGCCGGGATATGATTGGGACATGCTGTATGAATGCACTTATTTTATTGTTTTGTTGTTATATTTATTGTTTTAATTTTGTATGCCGTCCTGAGTCCCTAGGGATTGGGCGGCATATAAATTTTATAAATAAATAAATAAATAAATAAACAATGCAGGAAATAAAACCATAGTAATAAATACCATTGTCCTTACTGAAAGTTTATTATAATTTTTATATTTTAATACTAGTTGAACATTTAAAAAGAATGTGTACCAAATATAATGCATACAGAGTAAATGGGTCATATCCGTAAGAGGAGTATAAAGAATAATAGCACAATTATAATAAATACAGCAGAATATATTAATAACAAAGAATTTATTTTTTAGATAAAGAAAAAGCCTTTGACAATTTGTAATGGCTGTTTCTACTTGCATTATTGAATAAAATAAATCCTGGTGAAGAATTCAAAAGCTTGGGTCAAAAGCATGTATCAATGGCATTATGGATAATAGAATAATTTTTGCAAAATTTCAATAAACAAAATTACCAGATAAAAATGTCCACTTACCTCACTATTATTTGTGATTGATTTAGAAGCATAAGCTAATCAGTTTTGAAAAGAAAAATACCGTAAATGCCGGCGTATAAGACGACTTCCGCGAGCGCTGAAATCGGCGCTAAAGACGGGGATCGTCTTATACGCCGGAAATACTGGTAGTTTCCGGCGTATAAGACGACGTTCTAGGAATGCGGCCCGGCTATAAAGACGGGGGTCGTCTTATACGCCGGGTCGCCTAATACGCCGGCATATACGGTACTAGGGATCAAAATTCAAGGAGAGGAACATAAAATGTTATGTGACGATGTAGCACTGTTATACAATCACAAAGTGCGGTAGGACAACTGATAAAAACAATCATAGCTTGAATTTTTAAGAGACAAATTTAACATAAAAACCAAATAATGAGATATTTATCTCAAAAAGAAGACAGCTTTGAGCAAAAAGAATCAGGTGCTAGACAACAAAAGATCTAGTGAAATATTTGGGACTGAACCTCACATTTCATAATTATTACATCAGATTGTGGGGAGTTTAAAAAGATCTTGAAAGGTAGAAAAATTAAAAACTCCTGGTTAGGATTAATTGTGACCATTAAAATAAATATATTACCTACAATTATTATTTATTTCAAATGGTACCAATTACAATCCCAGTAAAATACGTTGCACAATTGGCAAAAAAAGTCAATATATTTATTTGGAATGAAAAAAAAAAACTTCTTGCTTTTTTGAAGTTTATATTATGCTGCAAGTTGTTTATGGTGGAAAACAGAATGAACAAAATCTGAATGGCATTAGCAGATTAATAATATTGGAAGGAGCTGGTCTAGTTAATGGATTTTAAAGATTAAAATTTGGAATAAGATATTATGAGACAAAGTTTAATAAAACATGGAATTCTATAAAAATAATAAGTTCAGCAATCTCACTTTAGCTTCATTTTCAAATGTCTTTTTATTCTAAAAATAATTATTGCAGCAAAAGTTTAATTACATATGTGGATATGTTGCATTTAAATTCCTGAAATAGATGAAAACCACAAGAATTATCTAGTGAAAACTGAAATTTACCAAGGTCAATACAAACATACAAATACAGCTAGTCCTTGACTTACAACAGTTCATTTAGTGACTGTTCAAAGTTACAATAGCATTGAAACAAGTGACTTAGGATGTTTTTCACTGTTACAACCTTTGCAGCATCCCTGTGGTACTGTGATCAAAATTCAGATGCTTGGCAACCGGTTCATATTTATGACGACAGCTGTGTCCTGGGTTCATGTGATTCCCCTTTTGCAACTTTCTGACTAGCAAAGCCAATGGGGAAGCCAGATTCACTTAACCAGGTTACTAACTTAACAACTGCAATGATTCACTTAACAACTTGGCAAGAAAGGTCGTAAAATGGGGCAAAACTAACTTAACAGATGTCTCACTTAACAACAGAAATTTTGGGCTCAATTGTGGTCGTAACACAAGGACTACCTGTATACATACAGACATACAAAGAGCAAGTCTTAAGAAAAAGGAGGATGACAAATGACAGAATTTGAAACATATATACAAAATAAAGACTGCCCACAACACACACACACACACACACACAAACACACAATTATTAAAATATGACACAGATTCGAACAAGTAAAAAGTTGCTTGATAAACTGAACGCAAAATTTCAGAGAAAGAATGACATTAAAACAGGAGGAATTGTGAAAAAAAAATCAAAATTTATCCAAAGCTAGGGAAAAAACAGTACATAATGTTTTATAGATAGTATATCTCTATCAATCACTACAAAATTAGATAAATGATATGACAAAAATAATTAACTTTGTCAATAATAACAACAAATTAAAAATGTCTTTTTATAGTAATTTTATTAAACATTACAATTAAAAAGAACAAATACAAGCTAAGAAAAATAAAAATATAAGAAGGAAAAATAGAAAGTTCAGAAAAATAAAAAAGAATAAACATAACTTTCCCTTGCATAGCAAGAATAAGGAATCTTAATAACATTTCTTTCCCTCAAAATACAACAAATTTTATCTTCATCTTCCCCTATTTCATCTCTTATCCATAAAAATTTTTTAAAAGGCACATTGTTCAATCCAGATCAAAAAGGTCCAATAATCAAATTAACTAACTTTGATCAAATTAGCCAACTTTATATTTCTTCCTTTTAACAATTTGTGATCCTCAATCCCCTCAAAGTTCTGTAAATTTCTGCAAAATCCTTGTCATTTTTTCTTTGTCCCCTCTCACATAATTCTTGACAAATTTAACAAAGTCTGTTTTATAAATCCAACATAAGAAAATTATCCAGGTCATTCTTCGGGATTAGTAAAATACCATCCAATTTCATTTGTATATCTAGTGTAGCATCTCCTACTACATCATTCCCATAACCCATCACTTTTAGATTAATTCAGACTCAATCTTATCTGCTCTTTTTCCATATCATTTTTAAATACAATTTGTGTATAATGTTAAATATTTTTAAAATTAACTTCTGGGTCCATTGTTTACAAATATCCTTTAGCATGTCCTATGTTAACTTATTTTGTTCATTCATTCATTCATTTATTAAATTTATTGGTTGCCCATTTTACCACAGGGTAGTCCTGGCGGCTTACAATATTAAAAGATAAAACTATCAAATAAAATATTACAAAAATGCAATACATAAACCTAGCTAAAAGGTGAGGAGAGAGGGAGTAGGATGAGCAGGGAAGGGAGGTAGGATCTGTCATTAATTTATCAACCACCCCCAATGTGAAGCCCCTCCTTTGGAGCCCCGAGCCAATTAGCAGAAGCAGGCTCTTCTCTTGGACCCTGCCAGCCGAAATATCCCGCTGATGGGATCCAAAGCATGCATTGTCTGCTGGCACAGGTAGAATTGGCCAATCCCAATGTGATGAGATGGCCTGGATCCATACCATGAAGGGTTTAAAGGTGCTTACTAACACTTTGAGTTGCACCCAGAAACAAACTGGCAGCTGGTGGAGCAGTGGTGTTATGTGGGCCATCCTTAGGGCCCCAAAAACTACCTGCACTGCTGCACTCTGCACCAGCTGGAGCTTCCAAATGC